CCCCCCCCCCCCCCCCCCAGGGTGTGTGTAATGATCATAACAGGTGTGTCTGAATCAAATCAATGCTTTTTGGAGTTATTTTGATACATAAAAAGGGAAAGATATTATTGAGCAAAGCAGTTTCAGTCACGTTTCACGCATTTTCTCTCTCATTGGAAGCGTGGAATGAGGGAGATCATCTTCATTGGAGGTTTCAGAGGCTGACACCTATTCCCATCACCCAACCCAAAAATGGTTATCTCTTTTCTGAATCAAACACCCCAGTAGTGTACCTAATCTGCCCAATATCCATAAACAAAAATGCCCTTTATTTACCTCACTCTGTTGATACAGAATTCGTAGATCAAACACCCCAGTAGCGACCTGATCTGCCCAGTATACACATTATACAAGCCCTTTATTTACCTCACTCTGTTGATACAGAATTCATAGATGGCGTCGCGGTTGCCCTCGGGAATGCCCGCCTCCTTGGCTCCGGCACGACATCCAATGATGAGCTGCTCATACTCATCGGCTTCAAACAGGTTTGGCACCTCGCCAGAGTTAAGGACGTTATTGATATCCTCCAGGAATTCCTCAACTACAATCTACAAAATCACGCCTCGGTTATCTCCCCTGCTTTGACTCTCCAACAGGGCTTTTCATTTATTTGGATGGATTGTTTTGTCGGTTTCAAATTTGACATTCAGGGGGAAAATCCTAGTGAACTTGTAAATTTTTAAGTCTTCTTGGTCACAAAAAAACAACAACAGACCCTAATTTACTCAAGCTGCCAACTTTATAAACAATATCTTGTCAAATTGTTAATGAATGTTTTCCTGTAATTCAAGTTACCTCCCTTTGTACAGCACTAACCACAATAGTCTTTAATTTCCAATTTAATCTAGAAAACATGTATTCAGCTCCTTAAATCAAAATAAACTTTAATGAATCTGGGTCTGGTATTGGAACTTTTGTAAAGTTACCATTCAAAATGAATCAATTGATGAAAGTTGATTTTTTTGATTTTGATTTTTTTTTTTTTGCTAATATTATTTATATTTTATTTCACTCCATATTCCAAAGTGGAAAATAAATATTACAACTTTTTGCAAAGATTCTAACCAAGACTTAACTGATTCACCCCTGAAATTATATAATGGACTATTCAAACCTTTGAATTGGAAGAGTTCAAATGCATCTTCAGGGGTAAATGAGTTAATTCAACAAATAACAAATAGTTCTTGCCTGACCAGTACAATATAAACCTATTCATTTTTCTGACCTACATACCTTTTCGTTTTTTCTGACCTACATACCTGTTCGTTTTTTCTGACCTACATACCTGTGTGTCTGTGAACAGGAAGACAGTGTGTTGATTCTTCACACCTGCTAACTGGTACAGTTTCTTCAGATCTTCGTGGAACGAGTTATAGTCGTAGCCTCGACTCAGCTCGATCTGGAAACTCTTGTAGCCACAGATATGGGCGGCAAGTCTGTGAGACAAACATAACAGAATAATTTATCTCTGCTGTCAGTGGGAAATAATGCAACAAGAAGTAAGTCTGTGTGAATGAATAACCACGGCTTTATTACACAATGCAAAACAGTGATAGACATGTAATATAACACAATATTGCTTAATGAGCAATATATAACAAAATATTGCTTAATGAGCAATATATAACACAATATTGCTTAATGAGCAATATATAACACAATAATGCTTAAAGAGCAATACAAGCATGTTACTTATTAGGTAATAAGAATATAAACGGTCCATCCTAAAAAATAGCCATCGTTCTCATGACTACAAATTACTGAATTAAACATACATGTACATTAAAACAAACAGAAATCCCTAACAAGATAATGTGGATTATTTACAATGAGAAGGCAAAATGCGATGTTGCTTTGTCCTAGTCAGCTATGAGAATGAAAGTGTTTCAATTTGAATCGACCCATTGGAGGAAAAACAACCAGGACAACTAGATTGGATGCTGACCAAGGATCAGAAGGTTCGAATAGGTCACAAAAGTTACAGTGAAAGACAAGATAGTGAAGGTAGGTAATGTAAAAAGAAGAGTTCCGAATGAATGGCCCGAATGCAGTTAACAAAGCAACAGAGGCAAGTGAACGGCTACGTAAGACCTCAATAATATTAATGAAGTATAAATGAATTAATATTCACATTAACTTTAAAAAATTGACAAAATAAACAAACTAGAAAACATCTGTAAAACATGAAGTCGTTTGAAGACAATACAGTCATGATGTACCTATAAATAGAATCAGTGACCTTGCCATTGACCTTGGGTTATTTTAGGTGTTCTCATACCTGGCCTTTGTATAAACTATGACAAAAATCTGTTAGAAAATGAAGTCGATGAAGCTGTGACAATGAATCGCCACGGGACGAGACAGACATAGGTAACAATAGATGCTCCACCATTTTTACGGGGAATAAAATAAAAACAGAAAAGTCATGTGCCTCACTAATGACTCGACTATAATAGTCTGTAGCAGACCTACCTGGTTAGGGACTGTTTTCCTGTTCCACCGACTCCCACCAAAAGGGCGTTGCCTCGCTCCTGTCGAATCATACGGGTTATACGTGACACGTGCTCTATGGCATCCAGGAAGAACACCAACTTCATCTCCTTCGAGGATTGCATGTTGAAGTCATCCAGGTACTGAAATAGCACCAGGACAAGTTAGTGACACGTGTGATAAATCATATACACGTCCTACAAACATTAAATGTGTGTCGTTGTAACCTCGACAAACATTACACATGTGTAGTTGTAACCTCGACAAACATTACACATGTGTAGTTGTAACCTCGACAAACATTACACATGTGTCGTTATTACCTCGACAAACATTACACGTGTGTAGTTATAACCTCGACAAACATTACACATGTGTAGTCGTGACCTCGACAAACATTACACATGTGTAGTCGTAACCTCGACAAACATTACACATGTGTAGTTGTAACCTCGACAAACATTACACATGTGTAGTTATAACCTCGACAAATATTACACAAGTGTCAGAACATATATATTTGTGTGTCTAATAAATACAAGACACATGTAAGTCAAATAGATATATATACAAATAGATTAGATAGGTCTACTTACATCTTGCAGTACATTTTTGACCTTCTGTAATTCAAGTTCCTCGTACAGACGGTCTGCAGGTTCCGCCCCCATCTTGATGTAATCCCCAAATAGGATCGGGTTTGTGACGAAGGAGGCTGGTTCTACATTCTGAGATAAAAAGACAAATATATAACAGATGTAAAAATAGATATACAGTTTATTGTAAAATGGTATACTTCATTTAATTTGTGTGATACAAAATATATTTACTTGTTATATTTTGTTCATGTCTGTATTCAGAATACATATGTTAAAAGTCATGACTAATACTCTTTGAGATGCTAGCTTAATGAGAATCAAGGGGAATAACTCTAAAGCAAACCATATCTACGATGCGTAATGTAGCATATATCCTTAAGGGAGATAACTCCAACACAAATCATATATATCATGTATAAGGTAGCATGTGTTCTTCACTCAAACACAAATAATCTGTATAATGTGTTAGGTAGCATATAAGGGAGATAACTCAAATCATAGATATAATGTACAATGTAGCCTATAGGATATAAATGAGGTAACTCTGACACAAATCACAGAGAACAATCGTCACTTACCTCCCCAAAGTGTTTGTTTGCCATCTCAGACAGGATTGTGTAGAAAAACTGCTTGTCCTCGTTGTTGATGAGGCGGTCGTGGAATACACGCATCGCCTCGTGACAAAATAGACGGAACATCTGTTTATTGTCTCTGATCACACCAGTATCGGCCTGGAGTATACCTGTAAACAAAGGTCAAGGTCATTTCACTTAGTTTTGCTTTATGTACTGACAGGAGGCTTTAGGCTTGAAGTATTTTGAATGAATAGTCTAGAGAAGTAGTTTTAATGTTAAAACCTGAATTCTATAAACAATTCTCCATTGGAGACGAGTTTACCTACCCTGTACACATTTGGAGAGATCTCGGAGGTTGAAGACGTAGTGAGACTTTGCAGGCGTGGGCAGAAGGTCAGTGTACATTCTCCCGTAGATCTCTACGGCAGCAGATACAATGGCATCCGTGCACTGTCGCACCGAGGTCGGGAAATCCATCAGGAACCCGTTCAGAATTTGCTGTAAAATGGACATAATAAATAATTCAACCACCTCTCTTTTAAGGGATCAGTCCTTTCTGTTTTCTGTCAGATCATTCTTTAATTTACAATTTGTTTTTGCACATATGTAGGACCAAATTAGAACTGAAAGCTGAAGATAATAATTTAAATCCCCCCCCCCCTGCCATCCATATCATGGTATCAATATTTTAGATATGTATGTACAATACTTACCATAAACATGTGCTTCAGGCTGTGCTCTGAAGGTGAAGGAATACAGAGCATAGCAAAATGACGGAACATTCGGGGTGACACAGGATTACGGCCACCACCAGGGGGCGCACATGCAGCTGCAAGAGTTACATCCTGCAAACAAGGTCAAGGTCACTAAGTAAACATCAATTGTTTACCCAAATAATGGGTTTAGAATCAAAATTTAGATTAAACAAATTTACTTTAATTTCAATTACTCTTCAGAAAGGTGGATATCATTTAAATATAAATACAAAAATTTCAATACACATTTTAAGATTATAAGTATGTGCGCTCTATCCAATAAAACAAAAATGATTTTTTTTATTTAATAAAATGCATTTGTAAATATTAACCATCAAAACATTTAAATTTTCTTTAAATAATGACCTGTATCTCCTTCCAGTTGAGTTTCTGACGGTCATACATCCCGCCAAAGTCCTGGTACTGTCGTAGAAGCTCAATAGGAGGCTGTGAGCCGTACGTGTCTAGCTTAGGCATGTTGAGATCGTCGATGAAGATTATTACTCGCTTTCCAACGGGGGCACCTGACAAAAACACAAAACAACTGTTATATTAGACATAACAATGTTGTGCGATATTTTCATAAACTAAAAAAATGTCTATTAGACATAAATGCCCAGATACCTCTGAAAAAGGTAAATGGATGACAATGAATCTGTTGACTAAATAGCGATAAGTGTCCTATAAATAGCTACAGAGACCTTTGCATTGACCTTGTGACCCTGTAATATGAACTCATCCCTGACATTTTCTTTTTGTCCTTTGTATAAATTTTGATAAAAGTCTGTTATGAAATGAAGACAGTCGAGTCATGACATTGAATCCCCACGGAGCAGGATGGACATGGCTAATGTTTCTTTCATCCTCAAAAATGTTGAATTGTGATCTACTTTTTTTATGGAATATGAGGAACTTTGACCTTTAGCAATGACCTTCAACTATGACTTACCAATGACATTTTTCCTTCTCTTTTCCAGCTTCCCTTCCAGCATCTCCTGTGTACGTTTACTGCTGGTCTGTGCGGAGAAGTTGATGAAGATTGGCACGTAATCAGCTTTCTCTGCGATGTTGTTAAGTAGACCTCTAGCAATCACAGACTGTAATGGAGAGAAATTGCTAACTTTAAATTGTGTTCACAACTAACTCCTTTATATCATTTAAATTTTAGTAATTTTCGTTGTCATTTTTTAAAATCATTTTCATGTGTTGATTATGCTATATATGCAAGGAGTTACCTTATTACTTCTTTAAATATCTGATAAGTTACCTCCCATTTAAGCCTAGAGACTCAGCGGTTGTCTCCCCTGCAGAGACGGAGATTTTAGTGTTAGTTATCTCCCCTGTCAGTTCCCAGACTGGAGACTCAGTCCAAGTTCAAGTTCTTTATTAACTTTGAGTCTTGCGACTCATCAGTGTAACACATATACATGATATATATATATATATACTTTCTCATAACATTGACAAATATCGAAAATACTAATAAATACACAGACGAGACAAAACACTCAGAGAGCATAACTACTTATGTTAATAAAGCTCTTCTTGAATTTGCAGCTTTAATGTATTTGGCCAATTTTGCTAATTCATTTGTGTTTTGTCCGTTAAATAACTGAATTAATTTAAACATGCTCGGTTTTTTACAATAGTACTTTTTTAAAAATTTCTCACGTAAATCAGAATAACAGGGGCATTTAAGAATAAAATGAAATTCATCTTCGACATCATCTATATCACAAGCGGTACAGATTCTTAAAAGTCGCGGAATATTTTGATAACGACCTTTCTCTACATTTAAATTATGGGCTGAAAGCCGAATTTTTGTTATTTCTTTTAAGTAACCTTTCATAAACGATTTTCTTAAATAACCCTGTATACCAACTTCTTTGTTAAGACATGTATAAAAAAATCCTTTTGATGATGTTCTAATTTGTTCTATACAATCTTGTCTATAAATATCTAAAAGTCTTTCTTTAATTATAATCAAACAGCTATTATCAATGTTATCTGTTTGCCATATGTAACCTAGACCTATTCTATATAATTCATTCTTGATATTAATTACCCATTTGTCGTTACGCACTAACATGTCTTCATAACATGATTTTAAAATGCAATTATCGGTATTTATAATCTTTATCCAATACTTAAAAATTCTGAATTTCCTCAGCAGTGATAATGGATATCTACCAAGCTCTAAATA